CCATCAGACAAAGTCAAATTCTTCCTCCGTTTACTTCAGGAGTCGCCATCTATCTTAAAAAAATGCGCATTTTAATGAAGGAAGGGTGAACGTGAGTCTAATAAGATATCCTTTAGAGCAGGCGTGGCTGTGATTCTGATAGCAAGGCAACTGCTCGCTTTACCTCGGCTCGCCGTCGTGGGCGCGTCATCTGTTTTGTGATCTAGTTACTACGTTTGTTGAAATCCTAGCAAACAAAGGACATCTTGTAGCGACGGCGAACTTTATGATAAGTCGCAATGGCAAATCAAACCTCTGTAAATTCACCTCGAGATGAATCGGTACCGACTGGCTATAATTTTTTCAAATTTGGACAAGTTTGATAAAGTAGTAGCATTTGTATGGTCATAACAGTTTTGAAAGTAGCTGTGATCAACCCAGAACGTTGAGCATGCTCTGATTATGAGTAGCTATTTGGCGCTCATCAATTTTTAACTTCATAAATTTAGGCGAGTGACTGATATTTTCGGAGTGGAATGACATTCTTATTACGAACGATATGTTTAAGGTCGATCGCTAGCAATTCCAAATTTTCTAGCTTCATCAGCTACCTAAACTGCAACCTCTGTATAGTTATAGAAGGAGGATTGGATTTGTTGTCTGCTTGAGTAACGAATAATGTCCCTCGATTGCCAATGCGTGTTTGAAGCAACAACTGGAAAGGATCCCGTATAATCCTATACTTACTGAAGTTTTGGATGCCGCTTACCAATATGGTTATCAAGGTTAACGCTCAAAACTTGCCTAAATTTCCATTTAAGCATCTAGAGGAAAGGAATAATACAACGTTCAGCTACAGTAAAGTTTGACTTATTCGTGAGTATGAATCAACAAAGAAATTACCATGAATAATGAGATGCAGGCTTTGCTTGACTCTGGTGCAAGAAACTGTCACTATTCAACAATTTTTTAAATGTCACTAACTCTAGCGAGTCGTAGCCCATTAACTTTTAAGTTAAATATTTGAACTACATTATATGTAATCATTCTCTTTAGTCTAAACAAGCAAAAAGCAAATTTGAAATTCAAAAAAAAGGCAACTGAAAACAAATCTTTCAATCAGTTTAACGAACAGTTACAACATATGCTGCAAAAAAGCGAGATTGCTTGATAATCGAAGTGCTGTGCTTTGTAATTAATCGTACACACTCCGAAATCATAAGCTAATATCGATGACTGAACTGTGAAATGTGACAAGGATGGACTACCATACGGACTGAGAATATGACAAGTCTTTAATAACCGGCATTTATTGACTGACCTTTAACAAACAATGATTTCTCTTACTGCATTAGCATGTCATGCAGCTTTGAAATATTTCCCGCAGCCAACGTTTTCAATGGTAAACTCAGGCGGTCCTAGTTCAGTTGCTGTCATGTATTATTGCATAGTTTACTGTATAACCAATTTTCAGGTTACATCGCAGCTAACCTGCGAAAATTGTTCGATTCTCCGCAACCTGCAAAGAGCTTGGCATCGTAGCATATTTACAATGCGAAAGTACTGGATTGAGGAACATTCCGAACGGGACAGGCAATGAACCAGAACTTACCGTTACAGCCTGCCTGAAACGAAATAAAAAGAGGAAGTGTAATCGTTTAAATGTCAGTCTCATTTACACTTTCATGAATGGGTGGGGACGCTTTATGGCGCGCTTCATTTCATCAAGCGTACTGTCCGGCACTGATCTCAGTTTCTCTGCAATCAGTCAGTAGCGCTTTAATTCATTATCTTCGTTTTCCATCGCCGCTTCTCCTTTCGGGTCGCGGAGGCAGACACGTCAGACAGAGCTTCCAACATTCCCGATCCTGTGCCAGAGTTTGAACTTCGGCAAAAGACAAATGGAGTCTGGAACAGATTCCTTCCATATGTTTGCACCAGGTTAATCTTGGCCGTCCCCTGGGCCTTTTGCCGACCGGTTTCGCTCGAAAGAGTTGCTTAGCCTTCCTTTCTGGAGGCATTCGCAACACATGCTCAAGCCATCGCAGTTGTGACTACTTAATCTGAAAAAACAAAGGCTGTATTCCAAGGTTCTTCCGGATGTCACTATTCCGGACCATGTTGAGACGCGTAAGGCCAGCGACTCGTCTAAGAAAGCCCATTCCAGCAGCTTGTACCCGGGTTCGAAGTTTTTCAGTAGGTAAGTATGGGGATAAAGATCGAATTGAATATCGAGAACTAAGCTCTGTTTAGTCACATTGGTTCGGGCTAGTTCACGAAGAACGCCACTGACTACTCCAATTCGCCGGTGGATCTCTTCCTCCAATTTTCTATTACTAGTAAATACAGTTCCGAGGTACTTGAGCTTCTCCTCCTGCTACAATTCCTCTCCGTTAATCTGAAGAGAGCGACGGGCAGGAGAACGAGAAAGCACTAGGCTTTTCATTTTAGATGCGTTCACACGCATGCCGATCACATGGCACTCGGCTGCGAACCTTTCTAGGGAGCACTAGAAATCAGTTTCAGAAGATGCGCTCTAATTTTTAAGGCAAATTCTCATGCATGGCGCATAATCTTGTTACTTTCCTATTAAGGGGTATTCATTTATCTACCTCGGAAGGAAAGCGAGTGACTTGACAGGAACTCGAATTTTGGACTTCGCGGTTCTGATTCAGACACTCTACTGGAGGAGAAACTACGGTCTAAACTCCCCAAAGTAAAGATTGCATGGCGAATGTCACTGGCCGATTGTTTCAGTTCCGTGGCGCGTTGTAATTTAAAAATCGCTACTTCTGTGGTGTAGAAATGATACTACAACGGAGACGGATAACTAGTGAAAAGAAACAGGTTAAGTATATATGGCAGAAAGGAACTGAAACGAGCTTGTAATATATCAGTTTATATCCGACTAAACAACCGCCTGAGTATCAAAAGCATCCTACGATGAATAAACGGTGATGTCAGTAGTTATAAATATACGGAAACAGAGAAGTGGTCATCTTAATCATAACTGAAGACGTTTCAGTCAAACATCATTCTCCATAATCCGCGCAAACAAATATTAAAAGAAGCAGAATTTAAAAGAGTTTCTGAAAACAAATGTTTAAACAAATTAACTCTCTTCTGAGGTGCCAATGAAACTTGACGGCGTGGATGGCACGCGCATAAATGAAAAAATCACTCGATACTCCTAGCTTACGAAAGATTTTCATTACGTGACCTACGAAAGAAATTCATTTATAAATCCAGTAACAATTTTTTGTTTTAATATGCTAATATTAAGTTCTCATGTTCCAATTGAAAAATTTCAATAGTTCGCTGCCATGCTGAATGAAGTGAGATAGCCTCGTCTGCTTTATGATTATTATTTATGCAGCGGAGAGTGCTCGAAGAAGAAATAATTTCCTATCACGTCTTCGGATTCGTGCGTGATACTCTCGTCGCCCTCTTTCCATCAGTAGCCTTGGGGACCCGCTGTACAATAATTGTGCTCATGTAGTGCATTGGCGCAAAATCCGAATTACTCTATTTTATCCTGCACAAAAATATGTTCGAACACCTAGTGATAGTTCTGAATCAGTTAACATAAACAATAAATGGAATCCTAACCTGTCGATTAAGGCTCAATAGCAAAGTGCCTCTTTCCCATATCGCCCGCGAGAATAAAAATCTGCTTTCACACCTCCAGATTCCCACGGCGCAGCCGTATCCGTGCACTGCAAGTGCTAAAATACCCTAGGCTGCTAAAAGTAAAGGGATGGTACGACTAAGGCACGCAAATCTGGCAACTTTATCATTCTTGTCGGCTAGTAAACCCATGTTGCAGGGATAATTTTTATTGTAGAACTTAAAATACTATTCAAAGATGAAAATGAGCATATATTTGCATGGTTTTTTGCAGGCGAAAATTCTTAGTTGGATGGATATTGAATGTGACAATTATGTACATACACATTGAATCCAATTTCGGTTAGAGTTGACAGCCTTCTTCAGTGAAGACGCATAATTTGCAAATTCATTCAATTTTCCACAAACAGGTCAGCACTCTGACAAATGTGATCTTGCACATCTGGATGTGAAAGAATGATAAATGCAAGGTAGCAGGTAGTCAGAAACAAGTATGATGACAAGAACTGATAGATCCAACATGCGACCTTTGAAAGTGAATGAATCAGACATAAATAAATGAATTATTATCCCCTGCCACCTCTGTGGACTCACACCCGCGGTGAAATCATCCCCACGCTTCTACTTGCCTAGAAAATACTTTTTTACTGGCCTCGCCTCAACTGCTTTTTGGAACCTGCAGCGCATTGGCGTAAAATACCGCCTTTTTGACTGAACAAAAACATGTTCGAGCATCATTAAGTATCTTTCGATCTTTCCGCATGTACAATAAAATACTGCGGTATACTTATCCTACAGAAATGGGTATATTGGTACTTGAATGAAGCCCATGAAACTTGGCTAGTCCCACAAACAACGTTATTGATATTCAGGTAAAATAATTTTGCGATTTTGATGACTTTAAAATTCACGAAATAGAACTGAGTGAAATCTATAGAAATTGCAATGGCAGTGGACATTTTATTATAAAATAAACATCCGGCAACAAAAGTTTTAATAACAATAGCATGCTAGAAGTACGATTCTGAATGAAAAAATTAAGTAGCACATTTTTAACCGAAGAACAACGGTGTATCAATGATACATGAGAATACATCCATAAGAAGCAATCGGTCAATCCACTGTGCGCTTTCAAAGCAATTCCTTGAACTGTGGTGAGATTTCAGCAGCATCGCGCTGCAATTCAGTCACTGGTATATGACAAAATTTTAGCGCCATTGCGATGAAAGTTTACGCTCAAAACGGGTCTTCGGGGTAGTTAGTACTTCGAACGGTGGTGACATTAGCAAACGAACAAACGCTAAAGAAGTAAATCAGACCAAAAACAGTCTTCTGTCATAGTCAACGAACCTCAGAGCAGCAGAGTGACACACGACACAATCATTCATCGTCTTCTATACCAGAGAAGTTTCTTCTTCGTCTTCCGTGAAAGGGTTGCCTCCGCAGGTAGCAAGAGTTCGGCCGAAAGAATTCCATTTCACGTCGAACGGGTCTGTGACCTCGACGACGTTGTTGTTGTTAATGTTGAAATCCGTGCCAACACCTAACTGCAGCGGGCGATGCCTCATTATTTGAATATCAGGCGAAAAGCTGTCAGGCGACGTGTCGGCTTTGAGTCTTTGAGAGTCTTCCAGTGTCACGCTCTGACTGGATCTGAGAAGGAAAGGAACTCTTCTGGGAGGGACCGGTGGAGGCTTAGGACTGTCCTTAAACCAGAATTACTAATAATCAATGTCCACAATGCAATACGTCACACGATACACAACAAAACATTTATTACACTTATTACGTCCCAATTAATAAAAAAATCAGAGTAAAAGTTCCCTATGTAAAGCATAGAATTTACCTATTCAAAAAGCATTTACTTCTAGTGAGTTTCAGCGTGAACAGAAAAATCAGATTGTCACTGTTGTTCTTCAGATTTTTTTTAAATCTCAAAAGATATCATTGAACGGAAGCAAATTATCCCTGACAAGAAATATTTTTGTACCATAGGGCGGGTACATTTGCAACCACTGTACCTGAAAATCAACAGATCTCTGTCGCCTAAGCGCCTTCACTTTTTCAGTTGTACTGTTCAGCCATTCTTCGCCTCGCGAATACATTCGTGTAGGCGAAGGGAAATCGACGACGGTCTGAGGGTAGTTGGACGCCGGATCGAAGGAGCGAAAACGATCGTTCAGTTCTCCGCCGTTAAAGCGGTCATTTCCTGCTTCATATATACTATCGCCATTCTGGCTTTTGGGCGACGACGCGGCAGGTGCAGGTTTGCTGGCGGAGAGGATAATCTGCAAAGGAAGTAATAAAAACGAATTTTTTGTTCCAAGCGGAGAACAAACAAATCAAATACGCACATCCTTGTCAAGAGGGCGAACGCCTTGGGCACTGTAGTCTTCTTCCTCTTTAATGAATTCCAGCCCTGAAAATAAATGGCTTACTGTGAAATCGATCTTTTCAATCGATTTACTGCAAAAGCAACGAAAGGCCAAATATAATTTTTGCCTTTCGATATATGGATTGGCTTTCTGTGCAAAAGTAAGGTAATTTAAAATGTTACGCATCCGGTACCCGTCTTTGAAATGTAAAATTCACCCATGAAAAACGGTCGTTCATGGTAGCTACCCCAGAACATTCTGGCGATATTTCACTGTCCCTATAACCGCTCAAGGATAGAGGCAAATTTCGCCTCGTGAGTGGACATAACCTTGATCAGCATAAATGAGGGATGCGGTTTTGCGCTCAATGCTCTGTAGGCACTTAAATATCATACAGTCGTGTTCTGCTTAAACGGTCCACCAGGTGACTAAAGGCAAGAGGGTATTCACTGATGCAGAATGACCCGATGTAATTATTTCAATCAGTCCTACAATACGACAACATCGTTATAAGTAAGAAAAATTCATTTTTGTTTTAGACGATGCATTGCCACGGTGTAAATCAGGTATCAGCATTAAAATTTCAAATTGGACGTAGTCAAACAACCAAAAGCATCGCGGGTTTAGTTATACCCAAACGTAATAAATTCTAAATAGAAAAGCAGGTAAGAAATATCACTAAATATTTTATTTCTGACGCATAATACTGAAACAAGTGGACACATCCACAACGGAAGTTACTTATGACACGCCATTACATTTCCAAAATTGAGTTTACAGTGCCGCCCCGGATTTTCTTTCAATGGCACTAGTTTAAGCGCCTTATTGAAAGGCAGCATGTACAGCTGGGCAGAAAAGGAGAGGACGATTTGTAACTGCTAGTGCACCCCTCTCCGTAAATATTCAGATATCCGTAGAACACCTTTCCTCATGGGGCTTACGGTGCCGTTCAAACATTTGTTACGACGTAGAACAGACAGGCGTGCCATATTTGTTTCCGTTTTGAAGGCAACATCTGCAGGCAGGGAAGTAGGCAATCACTACTTTTTCATATTCTTAATACTTAATAAAATAGCGGCACTTACTTATTAGGGCAGAACACCACGCGGATGAACACAAGGAGAGAAAACAGTGATTATGTGGAAAATAAAAAGTGGACGCGTTAAGAAAGCTCCTTTACAAAACAGGCTTCTTTCCAGTAATAGCAAAACGCAAGAAGTAACGAGCATTTTCAGCAGAAAAAAACAACGGAAACATAAGTGCTTTAGATAATGAATTAAATCAAAAAATAAAATGAACATCATCGATATTCATAGTTTGACAATGGCATCACATTTACTCACATATAGCGTTCCACTGATCAGTAATATGAAGCATAAAGTCAAGTAATTGAATAGGGATGACCACACGCCACCGACATAAATTGAAAGTCGTGAGCGCAGACTGTTCGCTAAAGTACGAACATCGCATAGTCACCCCAGTGGAATTCACTTATTTGACAACGACATCGTCCTTCGCCCACAAACAGCTACCTTTTTATCACATAATGGGTTGAATTATGCAGTCAATACAGCTGGCCACTGCAAGTTATACATACAGATAGGCCTCGAGTTACGATCACTCGACTTACGACTTTTCAACTTGACGATACCAATTACGATACAACAAAATTCGAAAAATATTTCCGATTTCACAAGAAGAAGATCAGTGAACGTAAACGTATGTCATACGATAGTTTGGACACGCTTGGGAGGCTGTTGCCGGCAGCAGCGCATCACTTTACGCGTGGTCTACCTCAGTGTCCATGATTTAAGCCTTAGTGAAATAGCGATAGAGAGACTCAAGAAATATTTACCCTTTGTGTTATTTTGTGCCTAAAAATTGCGCTTTTTCTATAAGGATGGTGCTAATGTTTTTCCTGTTGGCAGTGAGAATAGAAAAGCTATTACTTTGGAATATAAAATGAAGATCATAAACAAGCAGAAAGGAGGGAAACCAGTCATGGCACGTGATTTTTAGTTATCCAAGTCAACGGTATCAACGATTCTTAAAGGCAAAAAGAGGGTCATGGAATATGAAAGGTGTTGCATCTGTGCATTCCACCGAAGAAGAGATCTACTTTGTACAATATTACTGATTCACAGTGTAATAAATTGTATTAAATTTACTACTGTAAAGCACATTGCAAATGTATGTACTGTACTGTAATACAATTTCAAAGGTTTATTAATTATCTCTAAAGTGCACTGTAGTACAAGTTACAGGGTATGGGGTTTGTAAAATTTAACATAAAACTATACAGAGTACATTATGCTATAACACTATACATTACAGTATAACTGTGTCATACATAACACTGTCTTCGTCTATACCCTATACAGAGGTCGTCCCCTACTTACGATATTTTTGACTTATGATGCGATTATCGGAATGTAACCATATCGTAAGTCAGGGACTACCTGTATTCAATGCGGAGGCCGCAGGACCGAGCTGTGATCACAACCAATGGTCAGCGTCAACATGGCTTTACCAAAACGTCACAAACCGCGACATTCCCTAAACCGATGTGCTGACTCGTATGAGCTATTTTCTACGAAAGTATATGATAGTAAGCCAACTTAAGCTGGTTTCAAGCCTAAAGTCAAAATTTAAATTGAAGTTTCTTACCCTAGTACCAAAGCCAATAGGCACAAAACATTATATAGCTAATTCGATAAACCGAGGTGAAGAATACTTCGATGTCTCGTATGATACTTACTCAGAGGCTGCTGCTGAGTACAAACAGCGTTTGGATCGTGAGCAGCGGTCAGCCTTAAGCTATTGAAACGGCGAAAGTTGCTCTTCACCGGGCTGGCGCAAGACAGTCGCAGGGAACCCTGGCGCTCTAGCAATGAAAGGTTCGACTGTGGTCGGGCGATTGCGTGAGGTAACACCACGTATCTCATCGGCGGAGGCTCTGAAAACACAATAATGAAAGCCGTGAAAGAACGAATGATTGACAGGCCAGCTTAGTATGAATGAACTTGCCAGAGGGCTTGGCGTTTTGAGGATCACGAAGACGGTCGATCAGGGGCAGATTTCTGAACGAGCCTTTGCGAATGAACGGCGATTCGTTGTTGACAGGTTTCGAGGAGGCGGCGACGCTGCTGCTCACTTCAGAGCTGCCGTTGATGGCGCGCGCGGGGGCATTTGTGATGGCGACATGAGTGGTCAACATCTGCGCTTCCCGGTCGCGTTTGTTCTTACGTTCCAGGCACACGGCGAACGCACAGCCCACTGCATGACTAAGTCGTTCCCCCTAAAACCAAACCAGTTTCTTATCTATGACACATGACATCTCTCTACTGGTTACAATCTCCAGTTAGTACAAAGGGTTATCGTGCTCTACGTATATGTTGTTTTGTACTGTTGTGCATATTCTCTACAAAAAACGTCCTTTCAACGGCCCATTATAAGTTATTAAAACTGAGTTTGACAACAAATGCGAGGGACCTTTCCTACTTGAATACCCGAAAAGGCAAATCCTCGGTATGCGTAACAGCCAGACCTATAAACCTGAATCGCAATTTACTTTACAAGCCAATTCCACGGTCTGTTTAAACCAAATTCATGCCCGATTTATAAACACGTCCATCATTCGAAAATTGTCAGTGGTGAAAAACTTTCAAGGTAGAGGAATTTAGCGGATCAGAACAAATGTGCCGGGTTTACGTGAACCAAAAATTATTCTACATCTAACAAATTTAGATATCCATCGCTGTGATCAAATTCCATTAATATCCCCTCGGTCGTCTTCTGAAGTAGGCAAAATACGGCACGGCTGTCCTGGTCTTGTGAAATCTGGGAATATTAATATCTATTTTTTCGACGCTCATATCTGAAAGTTGATGAGTGATCCGTGTTCTGACAAGTGTCTTCCCCATTCCGATACACATCTTCTGAAAATCTTCAACCATTTACGAAACTATTCTGTTCTAAATACCCGTAAAGCATCTAATAACACTAAAATATACACACAGCCCTTGAATCATGTAAATTCCGACAAAGGCAAATTATCCTGAGAAGACTAGAAAAGTTCCAAGTCATAAACATTTTACTTAACGCGCCAACGGAACTCGTACGCCGTCTAACAACGGTCGCCTGAAGGCTACTTGCGTACACTTTGCTCATTCTCGCTTTGCTCATAACCGAATATGGAAGTAATATGCATGCATTTGTATTCATGTACCTTAACAAATTTTAGCATCTGCTTGCGCTGTGGTACCGAAAGTCATGACTGGAAAAACAAAGAAAGTAGAAAACGTGAATATATACACAAACGCAGTAAAACTGATCTAGAAATGAAAATTATAGTTACAAATAAAAATGTAGACAGAGCTCAACGCCTTAGAAGGTGATGTTTGTCTCGCACCATTGCCAACAGTGAATACAGTTGTGAAGCATTAACATGGAGATAAATTCTGAAATGAAAAAAAAAACTCATTGAATTAAAAGCAGTAAAAGTTGCTGAAGCTAAAGCGTCTGAACTAAAGAAGAGTCTGAAATACTTTGTGGTGAAAGAGACAACGAATTTGTTCTGAGACGTTTCAGCAAGAACTGCAAAACTGGAGACAATGGATCCTAACGCCTCACTGACCTTAAAAGTTCAAACAGAAATAGATGGCGCCTTAGCCTGTTATTCAGTGATTAATAAAGAGAAGAATGAAGCCACTGATACGTCATCCCTAAATAATTTCATAAATGAGATCTAACGGCCAAAAATTAAGCATCGTGTTAATTTTCTGTTTTCTCATATTATTTCAATAACTGTATTACCATACTACTGTACCGTATTACTTTGCGCTAATAGTTTCACAATGCAGTCTAATTTGGATATGCGCAATGCGAATGAAATTTACAAAAATAACATTTAAATCATGTTAATATGCAACTGTATACACGAACTGCAAACATATAAGCGATAGGGAGAAATCATAGGATTGGGAAGGGTTATATCCGACTTACGTAAAATTCGTGTTACGTATAAAGTTTGCGATAAGTAAATAGGGTCTGTCTGTACTGCATTAAAGTAATTTGCCGTGTAATTTTAAAGAACCTCGCAGAGAGCGTCACTGACAGCTGTTGAAACACACTTCATGATTTTCTAGTCTATGGAATGTAAACGAGCATCATGAATACAGCTGCTGTAAATACAGTAGTCTTAAGTTGTAATTCTCATGGCCATTTTTAGTTAATACCGTATTTTCATATTTCATATATGCGGAAATTTACATAACACTGGTTAACTTCAAGATTTATAAGGCCGTTAACACTTGCTGTGAGAAAACCAACGGGAAAATAGAATATGGAACAAAGACTAGCAAAATCGCATCCACTATCCTTATAAATTCCATGTTGATGCCACACGTCTCACGATCCAACTCGTGGTGAATACAACTGAAGATAGCAGAAATAGAACATAACTGAAGGCTGACTTAATCCAATATTTAATTAAGCTGGAACTCACCAGTAGTTACGCAAGTGTTTGATAAGATATGCTAACTTAGCTGCGGCTAAGCAAAATTTAGCTAATACTTGCAACACCAGCTCTTTCTCATACTTAACAGCTAACGTTAGTAATCAAGCTAACTGCGCCATCGCCGGTCCCGAACACGGATG